TTCTGACATGTTGATTAGTCTTCTGCCTTCGTCTGTAACCAGTTGAATAACCTGTTGAACCGCTCCGGCTTCTCTGGATGAACCGTGCAAGTGTTGAGTTTCTTTTTGTACTGGTCCATGAAGTCTCGAATGACTGTGTCTCTGGCATTTATCTTTTGTTGAGCTTGTTCCTAACGAATACGTCATTGGAGCCCTATGTAAAGTTCATTTGTCTGTGTCAGCAATAGTCTCTAATTTCAACTATCGTTTTGCCATTGTTGTCTTTAAAGGGACTCCCAAGACCAGTAACCTTTATCTTGCCCCTGCAACCTCTGCCAGCCAGTTCTTCCAAGATAGACTTTCATTGTGCTTTATGTAAACCCGATTCACTCTGAGTCCTTTATAACGTAATAGAGTGATATGTTCTTCAATTGTAGGAGCCACGTCTTCGGGATTGAATGTGACACATAGTCGCCTTGTAGACTATCCTCTGTATTTTTATCTATTGTATTACAACCCCTTTGTCCATTAATGCAGATTATTCATGTTTAACAAACACATTTTTGGTAGATCAACACCTCTTTCGAATGATGTGAATGATAAAAAAAACAATCATGAAAGCAAAAGAGTTAGTAAAATAAAAATAAATAAATAAATCAAAAAAATGACGGAAGGAAAAAAAACACAAAAAAACATGGTTAGGGTAAAAATATCATATGTTTTGGAATGTGGTTTCGGGGTAGGCTCTAATTCTCCATGGTCTCTCAGTTTAGGTTCTAAAAAACAATACCTGAGTTCTCCTTGTTGGTGCCCCCTTGGGCTTGCCAGACCCTTAGTCTTAAACCCATAGCAGGCTTGTGTGGACTAAGTTAAACTCGAGAGGACACATTCCCTTATACCCGCACGGTGAATAAATTCACACGAAGACATAAGGTATATGAATCCCGAAGGCTACTTGCTAAGCCCACATGGTGAATAAATTCACACGAAGATGTCACTTTTACCCCCACTTAAAATAGGGTTCAGAGCTCGAGTATAGATCCTTAGAGGAAAAAACGAGTTTGGAAGGCTGAAACCATTAGAAAACGGTTAGTACAACTATTTACTCGAAAATATAATCAAAGATAAGCAATAAAGATCAAAATGTTACCTTAAAATTCAAACTCACCCTTTTCATTGAAAAGACAACTGGAAATTACCTTAGCCTGACTCACTTACTTGCGTCCCCAGTGGAGTCGCCAAGCTGTCGCGACCGTCTTTCGGCTGGGCCCCGGAATTGGGCTTCGACTTAGGAAAATGATATGGAGTCGCCACCGATCATTTATTTTAAAACAAATGGGTTGATCAGATACCCTATTTCTTACCTGATCTGTGTCTTTCCAAAGATGTGTCGGATTCGGGAATCAATTACAGTCAAGGAAGGGTTAGCACCCTTGAACTGCCATTTCGGTACTACATAATTTCCAGTTGTCTTACGTTAAGAAAATTGCAGGTTTAATTAGAAAAGTTAACAATTGATCTGAATTATTTACCTTTGATTAACTTAAAAGTGTACCCTTAAGAAACCAAGAAATATGTTAGATAAAAATAATGAAAAAACTATAGACAATGAAATAAAAACAAATGAAATGCGTGACATAATATGAAGAAAAAAAATAATGAAAATGACAAAGATAAAGTAAATAAAATAAATAAAATATGGATAAAGAAAATAAACGTCATAAAAATAAAAATAAAGGTAAAATATAGAAAATAAGTAAAGGGAAAAAAGAATATAATAAAATAATAAAATAAAATAAAGATGAAAAATTATGTAAAATATATAATAATAGTAAAAAACCAAAAAAAAAGAAATATAAAAAGTAGAAAAATATAATTAAATATATATATATATAATATAAAATAAATAAGTTAAGAAAGAAAAATATATGAATATATAATATAATGTAATATAAAAATGAGAAAATAAATAAATTAATTAATTAATTAAATTGTGTAGGGATTAAATCGAAAGAACCACAAATTAGAGTTCAAATTGCAAAGAAATATTAAGATATAAACTCAATTTAGGGGTCAAGATAACGCTTTAAAAACGACGAGGGACCAAAAGGGTAGTTTACCCTATTTTATTCAAAAACACGCGGGTCTAGCTGCTGATGGGTCGGGTCGGAGGGCTGGATCGGGTTCAATATAAAGCCTAAAAGCCACTAACACTTCTCATAATTTTCATTTGGTTCGAAACAGATCAAAACAAAATCCTCTAAATCCTATATATGTTCTTCGCGTGTTCTTGAGGGATGAAGAACACGACCATGGTTTCCAGAAATCGACCACCGCGCCGCCTCGCCGACCGCCGATCATCGGCGACGAAAACCTCTTATTTTTTCTTTTTTTAAATGCTTTTTGAATTTTCTTTTCAAAAATCAAAATCGTTTTCCAAAAATCATCCCAGAAAAGTGTAGATCTAGGAAGAAAGATCTTCGAAAAAAAGAATGGCCTCACATTGTTCCTCGGTCGATAAACCCTTCTTTTTGTGGTTTGAATAAAAAATAACACGAAAGGAACGACATGCAAGCCACCAAAACGAAGAAAGGTATGAACTTTACCTTTTGTTCTTCACAAACACTCAAAAAAGTTTTGGTTTTGCCTTGATAATGCTCGTAGTTTTGCTTGAATTTTTTGCTTTTATTTCGTATTTCCGAATGTTACAAGTGCTTTTGATTCTCGGCTATTTTGCATGTGTAATCTGTGCAAATCGTGTAAACTCTCCTCCCCTAATCGTGTGTTGCTAACATTAATTTATAGTAAAAAAACCCTCTATTTTTAGACTCCTAACTGTACTAGAAATCTATTGCTTGTTGGTTGCTTTGGAGTTTTGCTAACACACGTTTGTTGTTCTTGATGAACATGCGAGAAATGGTCGTGAAAAGAGGCGGTGGTTGCATGGGGCGAGAGACTCGATTGAGGGCATGTTGACCATGCGGCGCTGGCTGGGAGCACGAGGCATGCTAGGGTTTCTGGAAACCCTATTGTTCGAGCACTATTCCACACAGGCTTGTTGGGCCAATGTATATTCTGCTGGGCCACGTTGTAATATAATTTTGGGTCTGATGCAGAAATGAAACAAATGTAAAATGTGTTAGTTTAATAAAATAATAATAATATTTATACAATATATATATACATAATATATATATGATATATAAAATATATGTTTATTTTGGTCATAAAAAGTGTGTTTGCAGAGGGTAAAATATCGATGGGAGTATAAATGAGTCAAGAAATTGATGAGAAGAAAGAATTTGCAAACAACTATAGTCAAAAGACCAAATTGAGTAAAATACAAAGTTAAGGGACTAAATAAAAAAGAGAGTACATCTCTAGTAAAAAATAACAATTGAAGTTACATAGGTATTCTATTCTGGTATACTAGCATGGGGTTCAATTTTGGTAAAAAAAAGACTTAAAATAAATCACAAATTGAAGAAATAAGGAGATTATGAAAAATTGAATGACTAAACTGAAAAATAAAAAATTTGTTATCAAAAAGAGGAATTTAAAGTACACATGTATTATACTATAGTTTATGAGCATGTGACTCAAATTTGGTAAAAGCGGATTTAAAATAAATGATGAATTCAAGAAATAAGGAGATTATGAAAAATTGAAGGACTAAACTGAAAAATAAAAAAGTTGTTATCAAATAGAGGAATTTAAAGTACACATGTATTTTACTATGGTTTAGGAGTATGTGTTTCAAATTTGGTAAAAATTGACTTAAAATGAAGGAGAAATTGAAGAAATAATGAAATTAGGGACTAAATCGTAAAGCTGTCAAAATACTTAGTCAAATTTTTTATTTTTCGAGTAACTTGAAATTTCGAAATTTCAACTCGACTCGAAAACCGAGTTTATAATTCAGTTGACTCGAATAACTCAAAATTGAAAAAAAAATCAAATTTTCGAGTCGAGTTTTGCTCACCTCTATCTTATACTACATTCTTTTCAAGAAATAGACAGATAAATCTTAAAATTATTAATATTTTTTAAAAAAATAAAATTTTAATAAATGATTTTTCGAATTGCTCGCGAGCTTTTCGAGTTGAGAATCAAGTAGCTCGTTTCGACTCGTTAAGAACTCGAGTCAAGTCTATTCAAGTGAGTATTTCGAGCTCTAACCGAATTAATCTCGGATAGCTCACGATTTATCTCGTCTCATTTACAACCCTAACGTTTGCTACTTGCGATAAATTGGAGTAAAGTATACATAAAGGACACAAAGCATATTTTAACCAAATGAGAAAGAAGCATGGAAATATTGAGAGTATGTTGGGCAAAATATATTGTTTTTTTAATATAGGACAATTATAAGTAGTATATGTTCACAAAACACTCTCAAATTCTTGACATTGAATGCTTACACTCATGGCATTCTCAATGCTCGAACTCGAGTCTTTAAAGAATAACAACAATTAATTTATCACGAAAATCACTTGGTTCGTGCCTGCTAGAATGTATAGAGAAACATGAAAATGGGACTTATCGAAGTGTTTTGGGCAAAATTGTCTCAATAGGCCAGACGGGTAAAAAAATTAATCCATTAGGTCATCTCTAAAATTAATTTGACATATACAACAAATGTTACAATACAATAGAAACTTGTCACGTCCACATAACGAGTTTGACTAAATAATTTTTTTATTCAAACTCGTCAAGTCAAAGTGACGAGTTCTAATAAGATATAATTTTTCATTAAATTTAATCACGTCAGAGTGACAAATAAACTCATCATATCCACTTGACGAGTTTCGTAACAAATGTCGTAATTCAAAAAAATAAAATATGTAGTGTCATATTAGACTAAATAATTATCCCACAGGATTGGGGCAAAATTGCCCTATTTGTGTAAGAAAAAAAATGAACCCAAACCAATTTCCATGTGGTTTTGGTTCATCTTCCTCACTCATACTGTTCATTTCACTCATAAATATCCGAAAACAGCCAAGCCAGAGAAAATTACTCTGCAAAATAAGGTCCAAAAAACCCAAAAAGATAAATCAAAGGAAGATAGAGTAGATCGCCAGATTTCAACAAAAAAGAAAAAAACGAAGCAAAAGAAGGTAACGTTGTTTCATAGTTTTTCACGAAAACCTGTCTGTCATCTCCGCCCCTCATGCGCTTCCGTTTCCCCTTATACCCTTCTTCTTCTTCGTCTCTCTTGTCTTTCATCTTCTCTTCCTCTCGTTTCTCCACTTTCATTTCAATGGCTCCCGCCTTTGAGCCCGCCATTGGAAGTGAAAACAAATCTGGGAATGATGGGTTCAAATCGAAGGTCGCTGTTGTTGGTAGTGGCAATTGGGGTAGTGTTGCTGCTAAGCTCATTGCTTCCAACACTCTCAAGCTCAACTCTTTTCATGGTATTTTTCTTACCCTTCACTTTCTTTTTCGATTCGGGGTTTAATTGATTAGGGTAGCCTAAACTTGATTCGAAAACAAAAAATTGAATTATTCTATTTAACTTGAATTTGATGCTAAAATACTTGGATTGAAAAAGTTGAATATATACAGATAAAATATTACTTTGTTGAATCTCTCAATTATTAAAAGTGAATGGATATTCGATTATTTATATGTTCTAAAATCGTCTATTATTATTAAAAAATTAAGATATTTTGTGCTTAATATTAAATGATGACTGAAATATTATAATCTGTTGAAATCAAGATATTAAATTTTATCATATCCCATTAAGTAAATTAACTTTCAGCTTAGATTGTCGTAAAATTTTTAGTAGTTAGTAATCAACAAAGCAACACCCTATAATCGGGATCATTTGTGTACTTGAACCGTATTTATATTATGAAAAAGTATGGAGAGGTCTATTTGATTAACTCGAAATCTTTTGACTCGATATTACTCTATCGAATACCGACACTTAATTGTAATGGAAAATTTTAGATGAAGTGAGGATGTGGGTGTTTGAGGAGACATTGCAAACCGGTGAGAAGCTTACTGATGTTATTAACAAAACCAATGTGAGCACTTGAGAACATTCGTTCATTTGTTTGATTTGGTTTGTAGATTTTTACCTAACTGGAATTTGGGTTTCTTTCACTAGGAAAATGTTAAATATCTCCCGGGTATTAAGCTCGGTAAAAACGTCGTTGCCGATCCCAACCTCGACGATACAGGTAATCAATTTGTTTTCGGTTGGTTTATATTCACGAGTGCTTGTGTTAAGTGATGGATGTTGTCGAAATCGAAATCAAAATCGTGCAGTTAGAGATGCGAACATGTTGGTGTTTGTGACCCCTCATCAGTTCATGGAGGGTATATGCAAGAGGCTTGCTGGTAAAGTAAGGGGAGAAGTTGAGGCTATTTCTCTTATTAAAGGAATGGAGGTCAAAACGGAAGGCCCTTGTATGATCTCCAATCTTATATCCGAGCAACTCCGCATCAATTGTTCGGTTCTAATGGGGGCGAATATCGCAAACGAGGTAACCGATCGGTTTACTCGAGAAGTTCAAATGCACGATTCAAGTGTCATTTTTCCATTCGTTTTCTCATTTGTTGATCGATTGAACCTGTAGATTGCTGTGGAGAAGTTCAGTGAAGCAACTGTTGGATACCGAGACAATCGAGAGATTGCCGAGCAATGGGTTAAATTATTCAGTACTCCTTATTTCATGGTCACTCCTGTGAGTAATATCGATATGCCTTTTCTTTCGGGTTTCAATATTATCCGTAAATCTTAATGGTTGTACCGTTGTACCGTTGTACCGTTGCAACGAACCGTTGAATCAGTAGAGAGCAGGAAGAACAGATTGTGATGCAATTGGGTTTAAGAAATACTCTGCCCTTCTTTTTGTATGAACAAACAGGTCCAAGATGTGGAAGGGGTTGAACTATGTGGTACCTTGAAGAATATCGTCACCATCGCAGCCGGTACATAACGCCGTAACATCTTGTTTTCATCCTTCTACATAAGCTTACGAATCAAAACCGATCCTAATCCGTCATCATACAGGTTTCGTGGATGGACTTGACATGGGAAATAACACGAAGGTTAGTATAAATGGGGTTCTTTCGGCCTCGTTCTTTCGTATAGTTCTTAACTATCCCTGGCTGCATCATTTCTTATCGTTCCTAACGCAATTCGTAAGGCTGCGATAATGAGAATCGGTCTACGAGAGATGAGAGCTTTCTCCAAACTGTTGTTTTCGTCCGTTAGGGATAGTACCTTCTTCGAGAGCTGCGGAGTTGCAGATGTCATCACGACGTGCCGTAAGAAAAACGTGTATCTTTAGATTGTTTGAGATGATTTATCTACTTCGATTCTAAAACTATGCCGTTCGTCGTAGTGGGAGGAAGAAACCGGAAAGTCGCCGAGGCGTTTGCTAGGAATGGAGGAAAAAGGTTAGCCTTAATGGAAAAGTGTTTGCCATTACAAAATGAAAATTCTGGCCATAACATCTCTGGTGTACAGATCTTTCGATGAGCTTGAAGCTGAGATGCTGCAAGGCCAGAAATTACAGGTACATCTCGAAACTATTTAACGTTAGTCGGAAAACGTAAATCCAATGTTCCGCACGAAATCGATTATATTTCCGATACCAAGTTTCTTGATTCAGAAGTAACTGATGTTATTCATTTACCGTACGTAGGGTGTATCTACGGCAAGAGAGGTCTCTGAAGTTTTAAGCCACCGTGGATGGCTCGAGTTGTTTCCTCTCTTTACGACGGTGCACGAAATCTGTATCGGAAGTCTTCCGCCATCGGCCATTGTCGAATATAGCGAGAAGAAACCGAGGTTATCCGTGCTAGAGGACTCGACCCGTTGCATTTGAGATTCAAGTCTCATCCTTTACAATTGGCACGTATAAAAAGAAAATTACATATGCGTCATCGTGAAAAATCAAGCAGAGAATTATGAAATATATTAAGGGTAAAGTATTTAAATAGTCCCCGAACTTTTAAGACACTTGCATTTTGATCACCTAACTTTTGAAACCTGCAATACAATCATCAAACTTTTAGTTTATTTTTACTTTTGCCTCATCCATAGAATATTTTATTTCATCGTGGAACAAGAACCAATTTCATCGTAGAACGATTTATATCTCGATTACGAAACTGAATAAACTACCGAAAATTTGATTTGATCTTACACGGCAACCAGAGTAGCCTCGTCGAGGGCAATCACACCTGGAAGCTCCTTCCCTTCCAACAATTCTAAACTGGCACCACCACCGGTTGATATGTGGCTCGTGACACTAGCAACTCCGACCTTTTCTACAGCGGCGACTTGGACGGGGTACAAAGTAGAAACAAGCCTTGTTGGTCGCATTAGGGGCGAGCTTGTCTGCAACGACCACATCAGTAGGTAACAAGAGAGACACTTCCTTCGCCTTTGCCTTGGCAAGGAGGGATGTTGCAAGGTCAAGCTTATCTTCCTCTACCAGGGATGAACCATCTGATAGGCATTGTAAAATGTGAAAATCATATCACCACCCAGAAGGAGGTGGTCACATTTCTCAAGGAGTGATTTGATGACTCCAGTCCTGGAAGAGACCTTTGAGCCACCCACAATGGTAGAGAATGGCCTTCTGGGGCTTGAAACTGCACCACCAAGTCCAGCTCCTGTAACAAGATAGGAAGCAAATGAATACAAGGGAACCTAAAACATTAAAAATGTGACAAGAACAATAATAATAAAATTTAATGCAATGAAGACTGAACTTTATGCTTGTGGCTTGAATGATAGCGCTCTTAATCGAATTCAGTCAGTTGTTGGATTTAGGGTGGCTCAACAACCAGTTAGATATCTCGAGGTTCCCTTAATTACTCGTAAACTCACTAGTAAGGACTGTGCTGCCCTCTTGGGGAGAATTAATGGAAAGCTTAGTCAATGGTCCACTAAGAAACTTAACTTTGGTGGCAGACTGCAACTTGTTAAGACTGTTCTCTTTAGTATTTTCAGCTATTGGAGCAGGCAGCTCATCCTCCCTAAGGGGATCATCAAGGACATAGAGAGGATTTACATGCGTTTTTCTGGAAATGTTGTGACTCCCCAGCTAGAGGAGCACGTGTGGGCTGGAGCCAGATTTGTTCACTGAAATCAGAGGGGGGCTTGGGACTTTGGGACCTAGCTCTTTGGAATAAAACATGTTGTTTACTGCTTATTAAAAATATTCTAGCTAACAATGGCTCTCTTTGGATTGCATGGTTGCACGAGTACTGTTTTAAAAATGAGAATTTCTGGGATGTTGACTGCAAAAGCCACTTCAGTTGGATTATGAAGAAGTTGCTGGGGCTAAGAGAAGAGACAAGAAGGTTGTTTTCTCCTGGTACATATTGGTGCCGCATTAAAGGCAGATGAATTTGGGACAACATTAGAGTCAGTAGGGAGAAGGTTAACTGGCACAAAATCGTTTGGTTCCCTGGTCATATACCCAAGTTCTCCCTTATCTCGTGGATGGTCTTCCTCAAAAGATTACCTACCAAGAATAGGCTGACTCGATTTGGCTTGATTATAGAAACTGATTGTGTTGTGTGTGGATCTGGTTTAAAATCCCGTGACCATCTCTTTACAAGTTGTTTCTTTGCTAAGGAAGTCTGGAGGACTATCTTAGCCTTATGTGAGGTTCGTTATGACATGCAAAGTTGGGATGATTATCTTAGCTGGTTGGTTGCCAACTTGAAAGGTAAATCTCTCCGGGTGCAAATTCTGAAGTTTGCTTGGATTGGTTTCCTGTACTACATTTGGGAGGAGCGAAACTATAGGTGTTTTAGGGGACATGCTCGTTCAGCTGACACAGTTGTATAGATGATTAAAGAGGCTGTAAAAATCAAGTTGTATAGGGATTGTATACATAGGATTGATGATGTTAATAGGATTCTGTTCACTAATTGGGGTCTGATTTAGTACGTTGATTGTTTCTTTGTAGCAGCTTTGCTGCTTTCCTTTAGATGAATATAAATTACTTATCCAAAAATAATAATAATAAAATAAATAAAAGAAAACTTCATAGTAGTTTAAACGCAGTGTCGGAGTCAAACCAATGATGAATTTACTAGAAATCATGTCTATTTGAATGCAGCAATTGAAAGCTAACCAAGTTCGAATGCCATATCCTACCTTCTGTAAAAGGAAACCAGTAACTGATGGCTTCAAGAATTTGTTGACACCCTCTGTTGATGCATGAGCTCTTTTGTCGACATCGCCATAAGGAAGAAAAGAAGTAGAGAGAGAGTGGTTTCGGGCCGTTGGAAAGCAGTAAGAGTGGGGAGACGGACTGAAGAAGAAGAAGAAGGGTCGACTGCCATATCAACAAAAAAAAATTAACTGTCACGTCAATAAAAATTAACGAAAAATCACGGTAAAGACAGAAATAAAAACGAATTAAAAGTTTGAATGATTAAAACGAAATTAAAATGATAGTTGGATGACTAAATTCGTGTTTTACCCTACAATTAAAGAGGAGGCCAAGAAATCCCCCGATTCCGACCAAACCAAAACCTTCAAAAGTAAGCAAAGGCATGGACAAAACAGATAACTTGTCGGAAAATCTAACGTCTCCGTACATCTCTCCTCTTCTTCTTCTTCAAAACCATTTTTCCATTGAAACCAAAGAAGCTCCGGAAACGACGACGTAGTGAAGAAAAAAAAAACCCATGTGTTACGAATATCTTTTCAAGTACATCATCATCGGCGACACTGGTATACCCTCTCTGTCTCTCTCTCTATCTCTCTAAAAGCTTTCTGAAAATCCCTTTTTTTAAAACAAATTGTTCAAAGTTTTTCTATGGGTTTTAATGGGTTTTTTTTTACAGGCGTGGGAAAATCATGTTTGCTCTTGCAGTTTACCGACAAGAGATTCCAACCGGTTCATGATTTAACCATCGGTGTTGAATTCGGTGCTCGGATGGTCACCATTGATGGCCGACCCATCAAGCTTCAAATCTGGGATACTGTATGAATCTTCTTTCTCTTCCCTTTTTTGGTACTCTTTGTTTGGTTATTTGCTGAAAAGTTATTCAAAAAATTTGATTTCTTTTAGCTATTGGGTTTGAATTACTTAATTTAGGACTTGGGAAGATTAGGGTTTCTGTTCTTCAAATAAAAGAACTAAGATTTGGATCATTTCTTCCTTAGGGTTATATTGAATATTGATGCCATGTTCTTTTCAGTGTTTATGTAGGGTTTAGGGTTTAACATTCATGGTTCAATGTTTAGGGTTTCATTCAAATATGTCGGATGACATTCTATAGTAATGCATGTGTAGTCTAAATTTTACACAGTTTGTGTATCGCAAAATTTCTTATTTTGCTTTTGGGTAGGAATATAGCATAATTTGGGTATAGGAGCCGAAGCGATTGTTAGAGCTTGTGAAGATTAGGGTTTCTGTTCGTCAAACAAAAGTATTAAAATTTGGACCATTTCTTCCTCAGGATTGTATTGATGCCGTGCTCTTTTTAGTGTTTATGGTTATAGGGTTTAGGGGTTTGATATTTAGGGTTTAGGGTTTCATTCAAATATGTCGGATGACATTCAAATAGTAATGCTTGCCTTTGGGCGTGAGTATAACATAATTTGGGTATAGGTGCCGCAAAGAGTGTCAGAGCTTGTGAAGATTGGGGTTTCTGTGGGGAATCTTCATTTTTAAGTTTAAATTATCGATTTTTAGGGTATCCGATGTTACAGTAATGAAGTTTTGGCTGTTGGGTTTTAAGGGTTCATATTTAGGAGCTTGCGGATCAAAATTCATCGTGTGGGGAAAATGACTTGTTTCTTGTTTGATTCGTATGGAGTAGGGTCGAGAATCGTTGGATTTGTGAGAGTGAGCTGAGAGCATAAGTGAAAGCTTTTGAACTTTGTAATCTTGTTAGGAGAAGTATAAGTTAGCCCTCGAATGAATCTCTGTCTCGGATATCGTTGATATAGACCGCATTTGGTAGTTTTTCGGTTGTTTTAGAGGATCTCTTACTTTTACGAAAGAACGATATAATCTTGGTCGGTCAGTTATTCTTTTGTCAAACTGCTTCCTACTGAAACAGGGTGAAGCCAGGGTTGGTTAAAAAATGGTAAAATTAGTCTTTAGCCCCTCTTGAAAAGCGGACATTCGGTCTAAGCCATTTCATAGCCCTAGGTTGAACATAAATCTTTCACTATTGGCTCGTCCCGAAAACTAATAATTCAATTGAAGCGCTTTTAACACAAATTTTAGCTTTGTGCCCTTCAAAGTTTACAATTTTATCTCGGCCTCCCTGAACAAAATCCCCAGCTTTTGGGACAAAACGTAGCATTCGACGACTTATTTCATCTCAATTATAGGTATATGTTGGATGCGCAAGAGTTCATATTTGGGAGCTTGTGAATCGTAATTCACTTTATGAGGGGAAATACGAGCTGTATTTTTTTTGTTTGATTGGTATGGGGTTGGTTTACAGTCCGAGATTTCTCGGATTTGTGAGAGTGAATAGAGGAAAAGTCTTTTAGTAATCTTGCAAGGAAAAGTGTCAGTTAGTCCTTTCGGAAATTGGTGATATAGATTGCATTTGGTAGTAGTTCTGTTCTTTAAGAGGAACTTCATGAAAAACGAGACTATCTTGAGGCGTTCGTCATTCCTTTGTCGGTTATTTCCTACTCTAGGAATGTAGAACCAATGGTATCGTTGCTTATTTGATGCATTTGATGGCTTATTTCGTCTCGGTTATGGTTATTTTGTTGGTCGTGTCTTCGTGTTTTTATATTATTGCTTACGATTTGAACGGAAGCTTTTGTTTGCTTATATTTCAGGCCGGGCAAGAATCCTTCAGGTCCATCACCAGATCTTACTATAGAGGAGCCGCTGGAGCTCTACTTGTCTACGATATAACCAGGTCCGAAGCTTTTATTGCTTTTATTTTTTGCGACGTATCTTGGTCCGAGGTGAAGGATCATTCTTGCTTCTACTTTTTCATTCTCTTTGTTAAGAAGACGAGACCGATTGTTCTATTCTTTTATCACGACTTTTACGGCCTATACGCATAAATTCGTTTTTCTTTCAATTCTGGTTTCGGAAAGATTCGAGCTTTCTTCACTAAACTGCAAATCTGTACACTTGACCAGGAGAGAAACGTTTAATCATCTGGCAAGCTGGTTGGAAGATGCGCGAGACAGCATGCGAATCCCAACATGACAATCGTGCTAATCGGAAACAAGTCCGATCTTTCTCACCGGAGAGCCGTTAGCAAAGAAGAGGGTGAACAGTTTGCAAAGGAAAACGGGCTTTTGTTCTTGGAAGCATCCGCGAGAACGGCGCAAAACGTCGAGGAGGTAAGGATTTATATCGTAATATTTACGTGTTTTAACGAACATCTTTAACTGAAATGCGGAATTAACTTGTAGGCCTTCGTGAAGACCGCTGCCAAGATTCTTCAGAACATCTGGGAAGGAGTCTTCGATGCATCCAGTGAGGTAATAATCGGGTCATAACTTGATTAAATCCGATTCGAACCAGTAAGCATCTTTCATTAATCGGGAGACCAACTCTGCTTTTCATGAAGTATGTCTTACCTAAGCCCTTTTTCTTGGAAACTATTGCAGTCTTCTGGCACCAAGCTCGGCTACGGGCTGGCACAAGGTCCATCCGGTTCAAGAGACGGAGCCGTCGCTCAAAATGGTGGTGGTTGTGGTTAGTACAAAATGGAAACGATCTATTCTGTATTCGGTCCTTTCCGGTTTATTTCTACATCGCGACGCTTTGATGAATATCTCCCCGAAGGTGGTGTTGAACTCGGTAAGAACACTCGATGTATAGAACTGTCTTTTCCTTGTACTGAACCCGGAACTCATTTGTCCTCCACGTGCCTCCTTTACATTCTATCCCGACTCATTTGCACTGTAAGATATGGATCCAAATGTGGTCGGAGGACCGAGCATGATTTCCGGCTACCGGTTAATCCACGGTCATTCTTTAAGACATGCATATTGATGCATTGAAGAGTGTTGGATCTGCAGTTGATGGGTTTGCATAGATGAACCCTTGTTTGTTCCTCTCGCCACCTAAAATGATCCATTTAGTAATTTCTATTAAATTGAGAATTGGTGGTTGCATTTAACTAATCCGGACTGAACTGTGTCGTACACCTGACTTTGGTGAGTGAATCTCCCAACAAGAATTTTCTACATAAACAATGACTCAAACCCGAAACTTTACTTAAACAATATCAAGTTACAATCCCGAAACTTTACTTAAACAATATCAAGTTACAAACCGTACAAAAATAATGAAATGTCCATCAACAAAAAGTGACTCTACACAAAGAATGATTTGGGCCACCAATTGAAGCCTCCTCCCGTATAACCTATCACAATGTGCATGTTCTCAATAACAAATCAACCATAAATAATGGGCAAGCAATGTGTTCTCTCTTCTTTGTGTGTGTATACGTTCAAAAGTATAGCTTTGTTTTGGTTTGGATCGGACTCCGGCATATCGGACACACTCGGAGGTCCTCGGCACATCCTTCACAGGTCTAAGAGAAGAAAAAAGAAAAAGGGAAGAATTATGTTAGCATCTTCGTCTACGATGTACACCAAGAACAGACGAGAACAAGTGTATCGAGATGTTATACCAGATGTCCGCAACCGAATGCCGTGTCTTTCGAGTTAACAAAGCAGATTTGACAAAGCTGTTAAAATCATTTGCAACAGAAAATAAGTATTAAATATGCAGTGAACAATTTCAAGTCTTTGCTCCCTTAGGATTTCGGATCGGAAATCGAATGCTAAGGACATTTATTCTCAATAGAAGACGGAAGAATTGTGTTAAAGGTTTCGTACCAGTCTATCATAAGTAGAACTTGGGGATGTGGTAGCTGAGCTGTCGGTATGACTATCCTCCGGATACGGCGGGGCACTCGGGGAGAAATCAGTATAAGTTAAACCGTATGTAGGAGGAAGTAAGGGCTCATAATATGGATTTCCTTCACCATAATTGGGAATATAAGCATCCCAAGCGGATGGATCCGAACGATGTCGATCTATCTCCTCCTTTGAACAAATGGCCCCCATAATCTAAAATATCTATGGAAATTCTCGATTCCTAAACCAAAACAGAACCCAAATCAAACTAATTAGTAAAAAAAAAGGCGTAAATTCACTTGCCGAAAAAAAAGAAGAACATCGCCGTTTCATATCATCAAAAGAAGAAGAAGAAGCTAAGAACCCATTACCCTACAAGAAGAATAAACAGAGAAATTCGAATACCTCTAGTTCGTGCGGGAGATCCAAATAATGCTCGATGGAAACGAAAAATCTGGAATGATTAAATTTTTTGAACTCGTTTCGTTTTTAAACGGGAAGTTCTGGCGCGTGTTTTCAAATGGGAAGTTTTCAAACGGGAAGTTCTAGCGCGTGTTTTCGAATGGGAAGTTTTCAAATGGGAAGGAAGTTCTAGCGCGTGTATGTCTCTCACATTCCGCTTAGGACACTTATCCATATTTTATTATATTTGGGCAAACTACATGAATTGGTCACTTTTATTTATTTTTATTCAATTTTATCATTGATTTTAAAAAATATATATAATTTTATCATTTATATTCTAGATTTATCACATATTGATCAGTGAAATTTAACTATTTGAGTAAAGGATAGGGGTATTTATCAAGCGAGTCGATCACGAGTTAAGCAGTGCTCGACTCGTGATCTTTAAAAAAATTTGCTTAGACTCATTGCTCATTAAGCTCGTTAAAATTATGCTCGACTTGTGCTCGTTAAATAAATTTGCTGCTCAATTCGACTCGTTGCTCGTTAAGCTCGACTCGTTGCTCGTTAAGCTCACTAAAAAAATTACCTTATTTTTTTAACTAAAAATAAAATTTACTAATACTATATGAGGATATTAGGATTGGGTTTTTTGTATTAAAATAATATTATTAATTAATAATATTTTATTATTTATTAAAAATAATAGATTAGTTAACTTATTATTTTTTATTTTTTATTAATAAATTAATAATTATTATTTAGATTTATTTTTTAATGAAATAATTTTGAAGTAATTACTAAAATATATTTTTTTAAAATAACAAGCTGCTCGCGAACTCAATTTGAGCGTTTATCGAATTTTGATCAAATCGAGTCGAGCCAACTCAATTTGAGCGTTTATCAAATTTTGATCAAATCGAGTTCGAGCTACTCACGAGCTGCTCATCTCGTAAGTAACTCTAGTAAAGGATACTTCGGATGTGATAGAAGATGTTTTGAATTATATTCTTATCTTGTCTTTGTATTGGTGGATCCCAGATCTACCCATTCATTTATCTATTATATATTAATCCGAGAATCTAAGTTAGTTCTCGAATCGACTAAATCTGAGATTTTAGCCATATTTTTTACGGGATAGTGTTTTAATTAACCGGATTTGTAAAAGATGTCCTTTAATGATTCAAAAGATTACGTTTTTATTCAAAAATCACCTTGACAGGAATTAATTACCCGTCAGGCATCATTTCAGTAAATTTTATCGATCTAGTATCCTTTCTGGCAAGGCACAGATCGTCATCCGCGCATTTGCCGTGTTTCGTCCGAGCTGGTGCCACGGACTATCCGCGCCTTATCAGAGCTGGCTCCACGTAAGGCTAAGGAGCGGATGGTGATCCACACCTTTATGAATTCTGACACACGCCTGTAAGGCTCGAATCACCATCCGCATCTTCCATTATTGGTTCCGAATTTCTCTGACTTTAAACTCTCCCCTCGCCTATAAATAACACCCCTTCAACCGTAAACATCACCGCATCAATTTCTCTTATATTTGCTTCACCAATTATTTCGATCTTTTATTCAAAGGTATTTTTTTAATATTATATTTATTTTATATATGATTATTTGAAAAATATTTATTTTACTATTTATTTTTTATTATTTTTTTGCGGTTATAAAATTGGAAAGTGAGATCATACGTCGAGACATTTTTTTGATACGTTAACAATATAAAATTATATTATTTAAATTATTATGAATATTTTTAAATTTTTTATTCCAATGGAATTTAACATCCAGAAAACCGTCAAATAAAATGCGTCCCATGCCGAAATATCATAAGTACCACCTTGGCCCGGACCATCGCAAGGAAAACTATAACCGAAATCCTTTTTATCCGGCATTAACTTGGAACTGCGTGCATCTAAAGTGTTCGTATCAAATCATTATGTCAAAATATCCTTCAAGAGAAAAATAACTCTTGAGGAACTGATAACGAAGATTTCAATGAAGGTTTATGTTGGAAGTCCTAGAAGATTGTCCTCACTTCAGTACAGATTTCCAACATCGGTGTTTCCGTTAACTTATACAACGTTTGAACTATCGAACGATGATGATGTTGCAATGATGGTTGATTCTCAAAATCATTATTTAGACGCCGATACATAAATGTATGCGAAATTTGGTGAAGTGCGTGTTGTTCGTGGTATGTCATTATGCTCCCACTATGGACTAACTCAACAAACTGATCAAGTTGACAACCCAACTACAGTAATGTGTAATGATTTTAACGCCATAATGGGAAATCCATATCATGATGTCATCCCATCAAGTTCAATGGGGAGACATTCATCAACAACTTCTTACGATCTGTACCGAGGTGACTCCACAAAATAATAAATTATTAATTTATTATAATATAGTAAAACTATTTTACCTTCTTAATAGAATTTGACCGAATTTTGAGAGGGTTTGAGAATTTGGTGTGTGTTTGAATAAAGAAGGGAGAAGGTATTTATAGGGAGATAGGAGGGGTTTGGTCGGATGGGGTAATTAATGTGGGAGGTGTGAACGGTTGGAAATTAATTGGACATATGCGCCTTACAGGCACGACAGAATCCCAGAAAGACGCAGATGGTGATCCGCACTTTACCCTTACGTGGCGCCAGCTCGGATAAGGCGCGGATAACCATTCGCGCATTTCATGATGTGTCACCAACACAGACGAAACCCCGCAAAGTCGCGAATGGCGATCCGTGCCTTGTCAAAAAGGGTGCTAGATTGGTAAAATTTGATGAAACAATGCCTAACATGTAATTAATTCTTGTCAGGATGATTTTTGGGTAAAAACGCCTCAAAAATACTATTTTTTTAGTGCATCGATTATTAAAAATTATAAAACGATCATCTAACTATTCATATTTTTAATTTTGTATTTCTTTGTTAACAAATAAACGATTTTTACGGCCTAAACGCATAAATTCGTTTTTCTTTCAATTCTGGTTTCGGAAAGATTCGAGCTTTCTTCACTAAACTGCAAATCTGTACACTTGACCAGGAGAGAAACGTTTAATCATCTGGCAAGCTGGTTGGAAGATGCGCTTCAGCATGCGAATCCCAACATGACAATCGTGCTAATCGGAAACAAGTCCGATCTTTCTCACCGGAGAGCCGTTAGCAAAGAAGAGGGCGAGCAGTTTGCAAAGGAAAACGGGCTTTTGTCATCAAGCTCCATCCGGTTTTCATGAAGTATGTCTTACCTAAGCCCTTTTTCTTGGAAACTATTGCAGTCTTCTGGCATCAAGCTCGGCTACGGGCTGGCACAAGGTCCATCCGGTTCAAGAGACGGAGCCGTCGCTCAAAATGGTGGTGGTTGTGGTTAGTACAAAATGGAAACGATCTATTCTGTATTCGGTCCTTTCCGGTTTATTTCTTCATCGCGACGCTTTGATGAATATCTCCCCGAAGGTGTTGTTGAACTCGGTAAGAACACTCGATGTATAGAACTATGTCTTTTCCTTTTGCTGAAACCGGAACTCATTTGTCCGCCATGCGCCTCCTTTACATTCTATCCCGACTCATTTGCACTGTAAGATATGGATCCGAATGTGGTCGAAAGACCGAGCATGATTTTCGGCTACCGGTTAATCCACGGTCATTCTTTAAGACATGTGTATTGATGCATTGAAGAATGTTGGATCTACATACACAATGACTCAAACCCGAGACTTTACTTAAACAATATCATTACAAACCCGTACAAAAATAATGAAATGTCCATTAACAAAAAGTGACTCTACACAAAGAATGATTTGGGCCACCAATTGAAGCGTCCTCCCGTATAACCTATCACAATGTGCATGTTCTCAATAACAAATCAACCATAAATAATGGGCAAGCAATGTGTTCTCTCTTCTTTGTGTGTGTATACGTTCAAAAGTATAGCTTTGTTTTGGTTTGGATCGGACTCCGGCATATCGGACACACTCGGAGGCCCTCGGCACATTCTTCACAGGTCTAAGAGAAGAAAAAAGAAAAAGGGAAGAATTATGTTAGCATCTTCGTCTACGATGTACACCAAGAACAGACGAGAACAAGTGTATCGAGATGTTATACCAGATGTCCGCAACCGAATGCCGTGTCTTTCGAGTTAACAAAGCAGATTTGACAAAGCTGTTAAAATTATTTGCAACAGAAAATAAGTATTAAATATGCAGTGAACAATTTCAAGTCTTTGCTCCCTTAGGATTTCGGATCCGAAATCGAATGCTAAGGACATTTATTCTCAATAGAAGACGGAAGAATTGTGTTAAAGGTTTCGTACCAGTCTATCATAAGTAGAACTTGGGGATGTGGTAGCTGAGCTGTCGGTATGACTATCCTCCGGATACGGCGGGGCACTCGGGGAGAAATCAGTATAAGTTAAACCGTATGTAGGAGGAAGTAAGGGCTCATAATATGGATTTCCTTCACCATAATTGGGAATATAAGCATCCCAAGCGGATGGATCCGAACGAGGTCGATCTATCTCCTCCTTTGAACAAATGGCCCCCATAATCTAAAATATCTATGGAAATTCTCGATTCCTAAACCAAAACAGAACCCAAATCAAACTAATTAGTAAAAAAAAAGGCGTAAATTCACTTGCCGAAAAAAAAGAAGAACATCGCCGTTTCATATCATCAAAAGAAGAAGAAGAAGCTAAGAACCCATTACCCTACAAGAAGAATAAACAGAGAAATTCGAATACCTCTAGTTCGTGCGGGAGATCCAAATAATGCTCGATGGAAACGAAAAATCTGGAACGATTAAATTTTTTGAACTCGTTTCGTTTTTAAATGGGAAGTTCTGGCGCGTGTTTTCGAATGGGAAGTTTTCAAACGGGAAGTTCTAGCGCGTGTTTTCGAATGGGAAGTTTTCAAATGGGAAGGAAGTTCTAGCGCGTGTATGTCTCTCACATTCCGCTTAAGACACTTATCCATATTTTATTATTTTTGGGCAAACTACATGAATTGGTCACTTTTATTTATTTTTATTCAATTTTATCATTGATTTTAAAATATATATATAATTTTATCATTTATATTCTAGATTTATCACATCTTGATATGTGAAATTTAACTATTTGAGTAAAGGATAGGGGTGTTTATCGAACGAGTCGATCGTGAGTTGAGTAGTGCTCGACTCATGCTCGTTAAAAAATTTTGATGCTCGACTCGTTGCTCGTTAAGCTCGTTAAAATTATGCTCGACTTGTGCTCGTTAAATAAATTTGCTGCTCAATTCGACTCGTTGCTCGTTAAGCTCGACTCGTTGCTCGTTAAGCTCACTAAAAAAATTACCTTATTTTTTTAACTAAAAATAAAATTTACTAATAGTATATGAGGATATTAGGATTGGGTTTTTTTGTATTAAAATAATATTATTAATTAATAATATTTTATTATTTATTAAAAATAATAGATTAGTTAACTTATTATTTTTTATTTTTTTATTAATAAATTAATAATTATTATTTAGATTTATTTTTTAATGAAATAATTTTGAAGTAATTACTAAAATATATTTTTAAAAAATAACAAGCTGCTCGCGAATTCAATTTGAGCGTTTATCGAATTTTGATCAAATCGAGTCGAGCCAACTCAATTTGAGCGTTTATCAAATTTTGATCAAATCGAGTTCGAGCTACTCACGAGCTGCTCATCTCGTAAGTAACTCTAGTAAAGGATACTTCGGATGTGATAGAAGATGTTTTGAATTATATTCTTATCTTGTCTTTGTATTGGTGGATCCCAGATCTACCCATTCATTTATCTATTATATATTAATCCGAGAATCTAAGTTAGTTCTCGAATCGACTAAATCTGAGATTTTAGCCATATTTTTTTACGGGATAGTGTTTTAATTAACCGGATTTGTAAAAGATGTCCTTTAATGATTCAAAAGATTACGTTTTTATTCAAAAATCACCCTGACAGGAATTAATTACCCGTCAGACATTTTTACCGATCTAGTATCCTTTCTGGCAAGACACAGATCGTCATCCGCGCATTTGCGGTGTTTCGTCCGAGCTGGTGCCACGGACTATCAGCGCCTTATCAGAGCTGGCTCCACGTAAGGCTAAGGAGCGGATGGTGATCCACACCTTTCTGAATTCTGACACACGCCTGTAAGGCTCGAATCACCATCCGCATCTTCCATTATTGGTTCCGAATTTCTCTGACTTTAAACTCTCCCCTCGCCTATAAATAACACCCCTTCAACCGTAAACATCACCGCATCAATTTCTCTTGTATTTGCTTCACCAATTATTTCGATCTTTTATTCAAAGGTACTTTTTTAATATTATATTTATTTTATATATGATTATTTGAAAAATATTTATTTTACTATTTATTTTTTATTATTTTTTTGCGGTTATAAAATTGGAAAGTGAGATCATACGTCGAGACATTTTTTTGATACGTTAACAATATAAAATTATATTATTTAAATTATTGTGAATATTTTTAAATTTTTTATTCCAATGGAATTTAACATCCAGAAAACCGTCAAATAAAATGCGTCCCATGCCGAAATATCACAAGTACCACCTTGGCCCGGACCATCGCAAGGAAAACTATAACCGAAATCCTTTTTATCCGGCATTAACTTGGAACTGCGCGCATCTAAAATGTTCGTATCAAATCATTATGTCAAAATATCCTTCAAGAGAAACATAACTCTTGAGGAACTGATAACGAAGATTTCAATGAAGGTTCATGTTGGAAGTCCTAGAAGATTGTCCTCACTTCAGTACAGATTTCCAACATCGGTGTTTCCGTTAACTTATACAACGTTTGAACTATCGAACGATGATGATGTTGCAATGATGGTTGATTCTCAAAATCATTATTTAAACGCCGATACATAAATGTATGCGAAATTTGGTGAAGTGTGTGTTGTTCGTGGTATGTCATTATGCTCCCACTATGGACTAACTCAACAAGCTGATCAAGTTGACAACTAACGCCATAATGGGAAATCCGTATCATGATGTCATCCCATCAAGTTCAATGGGGAGACATTCATCAACAACTTCTTACGATCTGTACCGAGGTGACTCCACAAAATAATAAATTATTAATTTATTATAATATAGTAAAACTATTTTACCTTCTTAATAGAATTTGACCGAATTTTGAGAGGGTTTGAGAATTTGGTGTGTGTTTGAATAAAGAAGGGAGAAGGTATTTATAGGGAGATAGGAGGGGTTTGGTCGGATGGGGTAATTAATGTGGGAGGTGTGAACGGTTGGAAATTAATTGGACATCTGCGCCTTACATGCACGTCAGAATCCCAGAAAGACGCAAATGGTGATACACACCTTAACCTTACGTGGTGCCAACTCGAATAAGACACGCATAACCATCTGCGTCTTTCATGATGTGGCACTAGCTCAGACGAAACCCTGAAAAGTCGCGGATGGCGATCTGCGCCTTGTCAGAAAGGGTGTTAGATTGGTAAAATTTGGCGAAACTGTGCATGACAAGTAATTAATTCATATCAGGGTGATTTTTAGGTAAAAATGCCTCAAAAATACTATTTTTTTGAGTGTATCGATTATTAAAAATTATAAAACGGTCATCTAACTATTCATATTTTTAATTTTGTATTTCTTTGTTAAAAAATAAACGATTTTCTAAGTTGAACATTGACTTATTGACTGAGATGTGATAAAATATTATTTCAAAATCTCAAACGACTATACGACACAAATGGTTTGAGGATCAAATTTTATCATATCTAATTCAACAGGTTAATGTCCAACTTAGACGATCATCTATTTTTTAACAAAAAAATGAATTTTAAATATATAAATAATCGAGTGATTATTTTATAACTTTTAATGATTAAGAGATTCAACAAAATAATACCGATCATTTTGTAACTTTTAATATTACGAAGATACAATTAACACCTATTCTCGGTCCGTCATGTTATGATATATGCGAAGATATTGACTTTGGAGATTTTGAGGATATATGCGTCATTTGAATGATTTAGATCAATTAATATTAAGGCAGCTAAAGTTTTCCTAATAAATTTTAGAAAATAAATTATGTAAAATAAATTATATTTTTGGAAAGTAAATTTTGAAAATTATTTTACGGTGTCTGGATAGTGCATGTAAATTATTTTTCATTGTTTGATAATTTTTTTTATAAAAACAACTAATTTTATTCAAAATAGGAAATATCTCAAATTACAATCAAAATTTACAATCAAAATCGTAAATTAAATTCATAATTAGAAAAATTTCCTATAATCATTTAAACAAAACTAGTAATGTGAGATCACATAAGAACAAAATATTAAAAATCTAACCAAGAAACTTGAATAAA